GTAGTGATCAAAGAACATCTACTTGAATTCTTTCCGAGTAACCCTCGAGTCATCTATGCCACTTACACACCTCCACCACCTCTTAGCTCAGTCCCTCAATAAGACTATTGTTGCTTGCACCTTCTGATAATTTATGTTTGATTGGTTGAGAATACTGAGTTCATGCAAAGAAAACGAAGAGTAAATTGTTTTAATACCCATAGAATAAAAATAATAAAATAAGTGCTAACAGTAAAATATAAATAAAATAATAATATAAATAATTTTAATTGTATAACAAAAAAAATAAGTCTATTTAGCGTAAAAAAAAATTATTTTTATTCAACATTTTTCAGCTTGCCTATGCTAGTAGAAAACTACAAGTTTTTCTAACATCACTTTAAACATATCACTATTTTTAAGGGATTAGTGAATATAATTCTATCTCCAGTACTTAATATAAGAACTAGTTTAAGAGATTATTGAGTGTAGTAATTGTACATATCAAAAGTTTAATCAAATGGTAGTTCTAGCTAATACATATGATTAGCAAGAATATTTTAGAAAAGATAATATATATTTATTACAAATAACTAACTTAACTAATTTTCCTAATCATGACTCTATGTGAATATGTGTGTATAATATTATAAAAATAAATAGCATAACATGATATAAAAGCCCCACATCAACTAAATACTAAAATTAAGGAGCTTTAAGAGCCTCTATATACGAGGTTGTAGATAGAGTTAAAAATAAGCCAAACAATTTTCACATATATCTAAGACAGTCTCAAAAAAGTGCCATTTTTGAGTTTGTAAACCGTTTGATCATATTGAAATTTTATCAGCCTATTTGTGACATCCAATTCATCAATTTCAATGGTTGGATCGTTGCTCTAATCTCTGAGGTAGGTTATTAGGTATGCTTTGAACTCATTTTATTAAATTTTGTAGATAAAACCCTGAATAGTACATTGTTGTTTTTAAATTTGTTCACTGTTGGATCGAGTCACAATTTGGAGAATAGACTCATGATAGATAAAAAATTAAATTTAACTATTGGGTTAATGATTTAACTTCTGTATTGAGAATAATTTAACTCGTATTAAATCTGTTTGTCTAAGTTCTTCAAAGATAGGACATTAGCTATAAATTAGGGGTTTTCTATCTAGGTTATGAATTTGATGATTCTAATGATATAACCTAATAATTAAAGGATAATTTAAGTTAAGAAAATCTAGAAATTGAATTTAAATCATCATATATATATGTTTTTACTCTAAACCTTAAAAAAATAACCTTTCGAGCTAGAACTTTGCGAGTAACTTACTCTAATATTGTAAAGATAACATTTTAATTTCATTTGTAGATATCAACCTTATTATGGCATTTTTGAGTGCAAATCGTGGTTGTATTTAACTATTAGCTAGAAGACCTGGTAACTAAATTTCTATCTATTAGATGCTTTGTTATGAGATTACTTAGTGGTTTTATAACCAATTTTTGTATATGTATATTATGTTTTGTATGAACTGTCTTGTGGGATGCTATTTTGAAAAAGGTTACAACTATTTGTGTTATTAGAAATTAATAATTATGACTATGGTATTATTCTGAAATTTGTTTGATTATACATATAAATGTGTAATCGTAAACCCTATGCATTTGATTTGGTTGGGGGAGGAGACGATTAGAGTATGTAGTTATACACATACCATGTGGTATTGGCCATCATATGGAGTTTTATGGTTGGCTACTATTATTGTCCCACTATTTTTTCAGGGACTACAACACCTACTAGTTTTTCAAGGAGGGACTCATGCTCCATCGAATGCTATGATTTTTCACTGGTCCACATCACTCATGCAATGAGCTTGTTAGAGTAGCCACTCAAATGTAAAGAACTTAGCCCATGAGTCCAGTCAGTAGAAATATAGGGGATATAAGGTTGGATTTGGGTTTAGTGATTGCAAATGACATAAAATCTTTATTGACATTTATATTTTGTGAATAAATGTAAAGTATGATATCTTTTATGACATGATCAATTATATGAGGCTGGCTGAAATATCTTACTTATCTGGTTATTATGAGTTTAACTATTAAATAAATGTCTAATGACCGTTACAAAATTTGTGTATCCCACCTGACCCTCGCTAGCTCCATGCTAATGTGTGTGATAGGTAGGGTTTTAGTTACTGATGCTAGCAAATATTAAGATGCATCGCAAGTGTACGGGTCATAAAAATAGAAAGTGGCAAATCAAGGTCGATCTCGCAGAGAACTCAATTAATTAGTAATTAGGCAATAAAAATCTTTTTTTCGTTTAAGTTAGGTAAATCAAAATTTCTTCGAATTGAGTGAAAAGAAATAAAATTGAACAAGAGTGAAAAGAAATAAAATTGAACAAAACAAAGCTTTATCAAATTAATTAAGCAAACGCAAAAAGAACAACCTAGAGTTACTAATATATTATTTGCTCCTTAGATTTTATCCTCACTAAATTATTCATACTTAAACTCAATTCGTTAATCTAGAGTATTAATAGTTAAAAGTGCCTGTCAGTCTACTTATAACTTTACTTCAATTAATTATGTAATCTCTCATACAATTACATAAGGCGCATATTAATCCAACTTCACTCTAATTTGATTATGTGGAGCCTCCAGGTATATGTCTATCCTAGGTGCAAATTAGATTAAGGGTGTGTTTGGATGAAATCAAACCGTGGTTTGAAAAAGTGATTCTGGAGAATAGATTCTGGGGAAAATAGATTCTGTGAAGAATAGATTTTGTAAAAAAGTGATTCTGAGAAGTGAGAGTGTTTGGATAGTTGTTATCAGAAGCACTTTTTATATATACAAATTACTAAAAAAATACATAAGTTAATATGATAATTACAGAAAAAATAGATTTTATGATATATTTTAATTTGAAGGAATAAAATTGTTAATAATATGTTTTTTACCAACATAATTAATAATACATAAGATAATATAATTAATAAATAATTAATGTATATATATATTTATAAAATATAAGATTAAATATATTTATAAAAAAATATGTTTATAAAAAAAATAACAAGATATATATCATATAGGCCCTCACATTCTCCCTTTTTTCTCTAAAAGCAAAAAAAATTTGTTTTTTCCAAAACCATGGTTTTGGAGTCAAAACCATGGTTTTGACCCAAAACCATGGTTTTGGTTTTTAGAGGGGATGTTTGGGTAGATTATTCCCCAAACCATGGTTTGGGTTTGGGGTGTCACCCAAACACACCCTAAATCCAATTCTACGTTACTTAATTCATGGTCTATTTAAGATTTCCTTTGTCAAGTTCAATCCTAGATTCCCAAAACAAACTCAACGGTGACCAAATACTAAGTTAGTTATAATTAAAAACAAGATTAAGTGAACTGAATTAAAAATAAGTATAATTAAACAGTAGGAATAATCTTTAAATCACAAACAACTTCATAGTACTCTAAGTTACAAAACAAAACTAGCTACACATGACCTTAGGCAATTCCAATTCAGCAACAGTAATTCTGAAACAAGATGGCATAATGGAATGGAAAAGAAATCTTAACAGGGGAATGAGAAATCTGAATAATGGAATGATGAAAATGGAATGATTGTAAACTGAATAAGAACCCAAGTCTCCAGCAAAGCTCCAGCAGAAGTACGATGGCGGCCTCAAGATGAAGACGAAGGCGTCTTCCCTCTGTCTAAGACGATGATGAATCCCCTCCCCTGTTCGAACCAGTTCGGCCGCTATTAGATGAAGAAGATGATCCACCAGCTCTCCCTTGCTTGTCTCCGTCGAGCTCCAGCAAAAGAACAATGTCCTCTCCTTCTTTCGAAACAGTCGGCGCCTTCCTCTGTCTCACAACCAGTTCGGCGCTTCTAGCTCTCCTGCAGAACCTGTCGGCCCTCTTCAGAGAAGAAGAACCAGTTCGGCTCCTTCACCCCCTCCGTTTTTTCTTTGATAGGCAGGCCCCCCTAGTCAAACGGTGTCGTCCATGGATGTGCCATTCCCAAAATTCCATTCCCCCAAACGGTGTGTTTAGTTTCGGCTGAAAAGGGGAACAGATCCTCTCAGCGGCCATTTTCTCCTCATCTCTCAGAATCTCCAATTCTTGACCGTCCACTTCATCCGAATGCTCACCAAGAGACACGTCATAAAGCATTCAAAATCACATCTAAGCCATTCGTCTTGTTATGATCCTGGCCGCACATTCAATTTCATATTCCGCCAAATCCCTGTAGCTTTATTTCACGAATACACTCCAGTTTCTTGTGAAGTTCCATGTCCATCGGCGGTGCAAACAGGAGCTCTGTCGTCACCATCGGTCGGGCACTATGAGAGAATTTGTTGAGAGTAGCTTATTTGGTCAGGTATCTTCATTACAACTCTTCCTCCATATCTTTGCCGCAACTATTCCTCCATCCCTTTTTGAACTATGCTTTTTCTTGTTCTTCCTTTTCCCCTTCCATTTAATTAATTTGAAGTTCTTGTTCGAATTTTTTTGGGTGGATTAATTAAATCAGGAGGATGAGCGATTACAGGGTGGAGATGATTAATGATGGCATGTGGGAGTTTTATATGCATCTCCACGGGCCTGAAGACAGTAAATTTTTTCATCCCTCTGATTTACAATTTTTTTTTTTATTTCCGACTGATTATTTTAATATGCACCTTTAGTCGGAATGTATGTTTAGCAAGTTTTGTTTGGGAATAGCTTGCAAACTTCTGGAAATCTGCATTTTTCTTTTTGTTGCAACTATTACGTTCGGAAGTTTGTCTCGATCTTAAGATCAGCGAAGTTGTCACTTTTAGTTTAGATGGAAAAATTATGTTGGTGAATTATCCATTTTGTTTTAATCATTTTGGTGAAAGGAGATCGTCTGGTTTTGTTTGTATCTCTATACTCCTGCAGACATGATTTCTCTGTTTTTCAACAAAGTCAAATGAGATGTTATTCTGACCTTCTAGTTGAGTTGTTAGTTGGCGTATCATGATTTTCTCCAGTTTTCTATGTACAATCAGTTAAAGTCAATATATTGGCAGTGAATGTAATCTACAGATAACAATAATCATCCATCCACAACTTTGGCTTCCACAAATTTTGTGCACCTTCAATACCTTCTGTTCTAGTTTATGCAGCCATTTAAAGATATGATCGAAGAGACTAGGAATTGCAAGCCAGTTAACCAACATACTCAGAGATGTTGGAGAGGAGTGAGTCTGAAGTTTTTATTGCTTACTGCTTTTTTAAGTTCTTTTAAGAGTTGCAGAGTAAATCTTTTTTTAGACCATAGAGTGTTCCGCCATGAGAGCTTTTGTGAGATTGTCACTGGACAAAGTTACATTAGGTATAGATAGACTGATTCCAAATAATAATGATTTACACATCTCCTAAACAAGTTAGGAGACCAAGTTTGCTGCAAAAGCTACCTTGACCAATTGAACAAAACATAACTTTCTCTTCCGTATTTAACGAAATAGAACTTGACACATGTTGAACTAGCTGTCATAAGGGACAAAACAGAATTTGTTGTCCTATGTAAGAAAATACAAGTTGCTGTCATGTCATACAAAATACAAGTCGGTGGATTGAATGACTGAAGTGCTGGAATTTGAATTTTTATTGCAGGTGGTAGCTATATTATCTCTCATGTTGACTAAATATTGTTGAGGCTATAGAAGATGGACCTTCTAGACCTTCACCTGCTAGGAATTGATTAGACATTGTTGAAGTTGCTATTGAAGATGCACCTTCACCAAACAAGAAGGAAGAAATTAAAGAAGAGCAATGTAGATGTTAGTATGTGGTCATAAAAAAGTTGTAATGCAATATATTTCATACAACAAAACTGTCTTGTGTATATGTAGTTTGCTCTCAAGCAGTGTTTCATGTAATGCTGTTGCAGGCAAAGAGTTTGAAAAATATATATATAGTCTCTTTATTTGTTACTTTACAGGCATCTTATTGTTCTCAAATAGATTTAAACTCCTATGAGTTATCATAAGCTGAACCTTTTTTGTTAAATCAGGCTGTACAATGCTATTTATTAGCAAGATAAATCTCATTCCATATTTATAGAGGAAGAAATTAAACAATCCTTGACTAATTTGCTCTGCTATCATGCTTTTAATTGAGCACTGCACATCTTCTCTCTATTTTCCAAAACAATTATGAAAGAGAGATACTCCCTCCGTTTGTAATTATAAGAGACATTTGATACGTATAGCATGTTCTTATATATAAGAGACTTAAAAGTTGTCTCTACTTTTTTGTGTTGATTTCTTATTTTACCCATATTTATTATTTCAACTCACACTCTCTCTCTCCTTCCCACTTCTCTTTCTTTTACTCCCTCCGTTCCTTATTATAAGAGACGAATAACCGAATTACGTTGATAAAAAAAACAGTTAAAATTAGTTAAGAATAATTAATGTGCAAAAAGTATAATTTTTTTTCCAAAAATGCCCTCATTAATAAGGAGAGAGAGCATGAGAGAGAACAATAGTAAATTCTTAAAAGAAAGAGAAGTGGGAAGGAGAGAGAGTGTGAGTTGGAGACAATAAATATGGGTAAAATAGGAAATCAACACAAAAAAGTAGAGACAACTTTTAAGTGTCTCTTATATTTAAGAACATACTATAAGCATCAAATGTCTCTTATAATAAGGAACGGAGGGAGTAATAATTTAATTGTTCTCTCTCATGCTATCTCTCCTTATTAATGAGGGCATTTTTGGAAAAAAAATTATACTTATTACACATTGATTGTTCTTAACTAATTTTAACTGTTTTTTTGATCAACGTACTTTGGTTATTCGTCTCTTATAATAAAGAACGGAGAGAGTAGAAGATATCCAATAACGTGCGAAATAACTTGATTCAATAAATATAGAAATATCCACGGGAAACAGAGTAAAGCAATGAAATAATGCTAATCCAGTCAAATAATTTCAACCCATCCACATCATTGAAATTTTGCAAACTTCGTTTGGAATATAAGTTCTCCAATACAAAGCCAGCATGGCTTATCATGGGGGGAAATAAATGAAGAATATAATAGTTCCATGAAATTATCATACGATGCAAACCAAAAGGAAACTCAATGTGAAAATTAGAACAAACATGATGCTTTAAAGAATCTTAGCACAATTGCTTAGCTTATCCGCCCATAGCAGCACAGGTCATCTTAGATTTGAACAGTGGCATACAAAAGATTCTAATTTAAATGCAATAACATTGCTAATTTTCTGGAAAGAACCTCTGCTTACTTGGGCATTCAAACCATCAAGAATGAGGAAGAGAGATGGAAAAGAAGGGGAAAGATATGGAGGAAGAGATGTAATGTAGGCATCTGAATAAACTACTTTCGGCAAAGCTATGGAGATTCTCTCATATTTTCCAACGATGGGTGACGGGACGACGGAGCTTCCTGTCTGCATTGCCTGGGGGTGGAACTTCGACGGAAAATGGCCCTCTGAACCCTGAAGGGATCTTGCAGAATATGCAATTAAATGAACGACCAGATTATATGAAGATAGATGGTTCAGATGCGATTCTAAAAAGCTTCATGAGATATCTTTATGCAGGCCGTCAGATCAACTGGACGGGTAGGATATTAAGCTTCTGAGGGAAAAGGAGAAAATGGCCCCTGAGAAGATCCGGATCCGCTGAAAAGAGGATTAAAAAAATAAAATAAAATAAAAATAAAATAAGAGGGAAAAACTGGAAAGGAAAGAAACTAAGACGAAAATAAAATTAATATAATTCTTAAAATTAGTATTAACCACCTATATTTATTTTAAATCAAGATATTTATAAGAAAATCTCCCAAATAATGCTCAAAATCAAATCTTCCAATTTAACTCTTAGAAATCTCTTAAAATGCATTGATAATTCTCCAAAAACCACTCAAAATATTCTTTAAATATATTAAAAATAGAGAGTTATTAGTTATTGAGACGTTGTCTCATTTTGTTGTTTAATGTTTTTCCAGGTGGAAGTTTTAGAGGAAAGACGTCAAGAAAGGCTTAGGAGGATTATAGCCGCATTCGCGACTTATAGTGCCTCCTCAATCTATAAGTTATATTGTTTATCGCATATTGCCACGCTAGAACAATCAATGTTTAATTTATTCATGTATTATCATGTCTTTGTGTTCTTTCAATTAAAATAATTAAAATTAGTCTCATTCAAACAACCAACTTTCATAAGACTAAAAACTAAAAAGATTGGTTGGGCTTAAGTAAAATAAGTTTAACATTAAATAAAAGGGTTAATATAATCTCTAATCTCTCAAATTTTAAATTATAGGTTTTAATCCATCGAGAGGCAAAATTGTTTAAATTTTTATTGAATTATAGAGACCAATATTATAAATGAAAAGAAACTTGATGGACCCAAAGCTATACTACTACACAAATAGAAGGTTGTAGCGTTTTCTTTTGTTCAGTTGGTAGCATTTTCAAAACGCTACAAGAATTAGTGCTACGATTTGCTATTTTTACTAGTTGTAGCGCTTGAAAAGCGCTATAGCATATATCTTTCTTTTTTTTAAAAAAAAAAAGATAAGCTGTAGCGCTTATTTGAAGAAGCACTACAGCTGTTCTTTTTTTAAAAAAAAAATATATAATCCATTTTTAGGAGACTGTTATTCATCTCCCAGGTATTTTGTTGGTTGGTTTCTGCCGAAATTCATCTTCTTTCTTTCTGAATCTTCAATCTCCAGTATCTCCATAGAGGAAAAACCTGTAAAAGTAAAAGACAAAAAAAGGACATCTTTCAATTTGAGTATATTTGCTCATAATATGTTGAAATCTTTGCTCTATAAAGAAATACGCCCTAAAAAAATTCAAGGATTAAATCATTCCTGCATAACAACAAAGAATAACATTTTTTTTTTATTTAGCACTTGAAAGAAAAAACGCATAGATGCTTAAAATTTCAAACTTGTATGAAAAATCAAACAAAAAAAATAAACAATTCCAAAAAATACTTTCCCATGTTTCCAGATCTTCCACTAAGGAGAAAAACACAAAGATTCACAAAGAACGATAAGTGATATCGGCAATCAAATGCGAATACGAGAACACAGAGAGGTTGAGAGTGAACCTGAACATGACAAGATAAGGAGAGCCATAGAGTAGAGCGAAATGCTGCAAGCGGAATGGAGGCATAGGAGAGGAAGATAGAGAAGATGGTGGGCTGAGAGAAAGAAGGAAGGATGAAGACTTCTAGAGAGAAGTGGAAAAGAGGAAAAGAGCAAGGCGGCCACAAGAAAAGAAAGTAGGGTTAGAGTTGGGCTTGAGAAGATATTAGGTTAAAAAAAAATTAAGCACATCCGGTGGCATTTGATTGAGAAAGCACTACGGGTGATTCTATTTTTCTCACAAAAAAAAATAGTTATACCTATAGCTCATTCTTAAAAAACACCACGGGATATTTTTTTTATTTCTTTTAGAAAATTAAAACTAAAACCAAACCCTCCATCACCGTATGTATCGTTTGCTTTTTTGTTTTTGTTGGTTTTCCACCCAAGATTCATATTCACATCATAAATATATTATATAATTATTAATACTGATAGGTTTTGGGTAATATTAATACTGATTTTTATTCACTTATATCACTAAAATGTTTTTGTCAGATTTATATCACTAATATTGATATCTATTATTCACTTCTGTATGCAGTAAAAGATAATTATTTTTTTAAAAATAATTGTCTTCTGTAACATTTTTTTAAGAAAATCCTACGACTATATTATGCTTTTTGAAAAATAAAAAATATATATAATAACTGTGAAAATTTCTCAAGAAAGCCGTACAAAAGACTTGTAGCATATCGTAACATTTTTTCAAAAAAAAAAGCTACAGTTGTTTAATATTTTTAAAAAATAAAAAAATATATAACGCTTGTAACGCATTCTTGAAGAAGTGCTATAAAAGACTTAAGCCTGTTGTAGCGCTTTTTCAAAAAAGCGCTATAGCTGTTTAATGTTTTTAAAAAATAAAAAATATATATAACCCATGTAGCGCATTCCTAAAGAAGTGCTATAAAAGACTTATAGTTTGTTGTAGCATTTCCTCAAAAACCTATTACAGATGTTTAATATTTTTAAAAAATAAAAATATAAATAGGAGTTGTAGTAGCACTTGTTCAAAAGAGTGCTACAAAAACATGTGCTACTTTTTTAACTTTTTGTAGTAGTGCTATGATTTGAAACTTGAGGGACTAAAATTCAAATAAAAGCAAATTTAAAAGATCAAAATTTGTATTAACCCAAAATAAAATGGTAAGTTAAAATATCACAGATAGTTGAAAGAATTATGTTAAAAGAGTTATTTTTATTTAAGTTCGATAATGTTTAAATCTAAATTAGCTATTAGTTTTATTCAATCACTAAATTAGCTGTTAGTTTGGAATCCCAAATAGTTATTAAGAAAATTACATTCCTCAATATTGCAGCAGTTAATCAGAAAGGACCGTGAAATTACGCGTTAAGTTTGATAAGTGATTACACATAGTTTTACTAGAATACTGCAGTGTGGAATGCTCATACTGAATCTTTGATTTTATTATTTTTTGAATTTTTTGCAGCACACAAGAGTGACTGTAGTTTTAATCAAAGTGATGACTATGCAATTAATTAATTGTTGACACAACATATTTCAAATTTTAATTTTTTTAATATAGTATTTTTATATGAGGTTAATATAATTTTTGGTCCTTTAAAATTGTCCTTATTTTGGTTTTGGTTCCTCAAATTTTAAACCATAAGTTTTGATCATTTAAAGGATAAAATAGTGTATGTTTTTATTGGATTATAGGAACTAATATTTTAAATGAAAAGAAACTTGAGGGA